TTTAATAATTTTTATTTACATTAATTATTGGATATTACTTACAATTTCAACTACCTACTAAAGTACCTACAACACGAAAAGAATATTAGATTAAAAAATACACTACTTTCTGAGCATTGAATTACAGTTGGCACTTCTGCGAGTTAACCGTCGGTTAACTTAACCGAAGATTGGTGAAAGAGGCCCTTAGTCTTATTTATTTTTACGTCACTCGAGATCAGCCCGACTTTGTACAGGAGAATTTTCATGATCCTCGAGTGAGAAGCGCGAAAGCCCAGACGAGCATAATTATTCCGTCATGAATCAACGACGGCGCATGCCGGACGACGATGCCGGTCATTATCGCGCATTAAAATGTAAACTACATGCAGCAGGTCGCCCGTAGGGATTCGAGCAGCGGTTCTCATTATTCGTGAGCGACGGAGTTCATTTAGGATCACGCGTATTAATGGGAACGTTGATAAAAGCGTCGCGGCTTTTATCAATTTTCCTCGGAGAGATAAGTTGTCTGGTGAAGCCAAATCGCTTAAATAAAATCATCTTGTGGTAGGCGCGCTCATTATCGCTATTGCTAAATCATCATGGATAATGGCAATCGATCGGGGAACTGTTGTCAGCGTTGATCGAGAATCTCATTTTTAAGGGAAAAAATTCTGCACGGCGAACATATACGGCGCTCCCGAAAATAAGAGGAGTGTAAACATGGTGAAATTATCGATCAGTATCACGTTTAATTAAACCGTTCAACGTTAATGACGTCAACGAGCGAAAGAGCCCGGCTCGTTAGCGGATCAATTCTAACAGTCGCTGAAATTATTGAACGAGTAGTCGATTTAAATGTTGTACTCCAAAAATTTTTCGATGGATTCAATTAAATAAGTTAATTGTTTATCGTGGCCATTATCTTTTATGGTGATCGTCGAATATCTGCCGTAATATACGCCGATTCGATTTTATCGTCTTTTCACAAGGAAGGCGATCGGTTCTCTTTTTCTTCCCTTTTAATGACATGCTTTTGCTCGTTGTCCGAGTGAAGACATGAAAGAAATTACAAATTTAATTGGAATCTTATTGAATATCTTTTTTGTCAAAAAAACAAACTTGTACCTTTTAAGAATTAAGATTAATGGAAGCACTTGGAATTTTTTTTATTAATCTCTATCGTATTCGATTTTAATTTTATCTGCAAACGTAAATAAATTTAACGTAAATAAATAAATAGAAAAGCAAATATTAATAATAGATAAATTTAAAGATGTGTCGATATTTTTTTTTAATATTAGTGATATTAGATAACGGTGGTGTGGCGTGACAAGAAAACATAAACGGTGTTGTCACTACAAGGACTGCAATGATTCAGAAGATCGCTCTGAGAATCTTACGACACGATGAGTAGGCGGGAACATGTCCATTAATGCATTTAGTCCTTTTTCACTGTACGAGACGTACATAAAATAGCACGCGTGCGAGCGATCGCTCTCGATAAAACGAAAGTGTAGAATCCAACGGGATCCTGCTCGGCAATCACTTGGGACAGGTTTATTCAGTCGACCTGTTCTTTACTGCTCT